AATAGCCATTACCCTGTCGACTCTGGCTTGATACATCTGCGCAAAAACTCAGCAACAACAAAAACATGACCTTGACACATCCTCCCCCACACATCTCCCGTGTTCGTGACAGAGTAGAATAGTGAGGTTAATATCCATGACCTATTAATTATTTCAGTTTCTACTTAATGCTCGTTCAATTCTGCAGCACCAAGGCAGAAGCTCCGGCGACATTTATTATAGAAGATTTTGGTCATTCAGTTAAAACCAACTATTGATTAAAACACATATTCCATTTGCACCATTCTAAATAACTTGTGTAGTTCTGTTCTTTTTTAACTTAGAGCTTATTGAAAATTTTCATGGACAAATTAATGTAAATCCTATATCGCAATTTCTATCAAACAGTTGTTTGCTTTATTTGTTATTATACAGTTACAATAAGTACTCCTCTGTACCCATTATTTGTCCCAACCACGCTCCTCCGGCCCAGTTTTGTTAACCAAAACCCAAGAAGAAAAAGATCTACCAACCTCATTCAGGACAACACAATAAACAAGGCAGATCCTAGCAGCGTGTTAAACAAGAAACGAGTAATAGACTTCCTCAGCCCTTACCATTATATCCGACACACTCCCGCGACATAAATTCATCATCGCAGTCCTTCAACACACAGAATAAATAACTTCCAGCTTCACTTATCGTACGATACAGCCCCGGCTGAAGTCACTGGGAGGCTGCTGTTGCCCTCTTTACCCCCGCTGGCAGCTACCAAAGCTCCTGTAGTCCTATTAGCCCGAACTAATGCCTTTATTATTCAGATCTGTGGCCGATGCTAAGTTAACGGAACTTAATATCAATGATCGTAGGCGATGAAGTTCATATAACTGTAATGAAGCCTTCCAGACAATAAAATATACTCTATATATATATCTATAACATCCCAGTGTGTTTTCAACCAGATTTTTTAATCTAACAATAAGAGGCAGAGCAGAGGTGGAGTTGAGGATGGAGGTGTAGTGGATCCAGTGTCATAGTTCATTGGACACCCCAGGTCACACACACACACACTCTTCCTTCCACTGACTTACATTCATTTCCTATAACCTTAATGTCACTGCTGCCGGTCTAAAGCCTGATCTGAAACCAGGTCTAATCTCGAGCTAAATCGTAACTCTGTACTACCTGAGCTCAACCCGAATCAAAAAACACACACACACACACACACATTGTTACATAGCACAGAGCTCAGATGTCTGGTGTCGGGTCTCCGTTCCTGTCAGGTTGATTGGCATAATTACCTGAGCCGTGCTGTGAGTGTGCGGGGAAATAACTGCCGGTTGTCTGAGCGGCGCCGGAGCTTTCTTTCACCTCGGGAGAAATCAGCAGCAGAAAGAGCGAGGGAACCTTTTACAGTCATAATGATCAATGTTGGAGCAGGTGGACGAGGAGGAAGGAGTGGGAGGGTGAAAAAGGTGCGATGGTTTCACCGGCTTCTCGGCTTCAGGTGAGTGGCTGCCGCGTTAACCTTTGAAATTCTGCCTGGAACACGGATTATTACAGCGAAACACAGGTTAAACACGAGTGAAACAAATCAACGCTGCTTCCAATAAGCCGCTCTAAATGTCAGACTCTGGCTGCTGTGAGCTGTTTCTTTTGGTGGCGAGCTGTCAGTGTTTGTGCAGCTGTTTAGTCTCAGGCAGAAGTACTCACATTCTTTACTCCAGTAAAAGTACTGATTCTAAAAAGGACTCTGGATTTCTCTGAAAAACATTTCTACTGGCTCTTTGTGTGCAAAGGAAACTTCAACCAGGGTCTTCCTCTCGTTCGTTTTATGTCACATCTGTGATATGCATCAGTCCTTATGTTAGGCTGACAGTCAGCGTACCTTGTGGCCAACGGATTTTCTATTTTACTACCATTAAACTACCATTTATGAGTATGGAGACAAAACAGGTTGATTTTCATTGTCGTTTTTTATTATCAGAATAAAAACCTGCAATAATCTCCCTCAAATGCATTAAAACTAAAGTAATGAGCCTCTTTTGAAAATGTAAGTGGAGGAGAAAGTGCAGAAGTAAAGTAAAAACAAAAGTACAGATACCTGAAAAAACCCACAGAAGTTCTGTAACAAAGTATTAGTTGGTGACAGAAAAGTAACCCTCATAGTATTTCAGTGTACCTGCTAAATAAATACATTAATAAATACATAACGTGCCAGGGTTCCCGATGTAAAACCTGGAAATATACAGAGGAGTTATCCAGTGATGGAGATGAATTAAAATGACTGAAAACTTTAATTGTATGTTAGTTTGAGCTGTGGCAAAATTAACATCATATCGGCAACAACGCCGTGACAGCGAGCTGAGCCTCCGTTAAACAATGAAGCTGTGTCTTATATTGTGGAGAGAGTTAAGCAGAGTGGGAGCCGGGGTCTGAACTGCTGCAGTTGTGCCTCTTCTGTCAACCAACGTCTCCCACGTAATCACAATCTGCTCCACTAGTCCATTCCTCCCACTTGCAGCTGCTTGTTACGTTCGCTGCTCTTAACTTTTCTGCTTTGACTTTAATCAGGATTACGCCAGTGTAGGCTTGTCTGCCATCGGCGCTGCCACCCACCACGAGACGCTTATTCTCTTCCCACCTGATTCACCTGAATAGTACTGAGCTCCATAAACAGCTCCTCCTGTAGTAAGTGCTGACCCCTCGCATCACCCAGGATCTGCTTTTAGCAAACAGCTGAGGAATTACAGCCATTACATCATCCCCAGTGTGTGTGTGTGTGTGTGTGTGTGTGAGTGGTGTGTGTGTGTGTGAGTGTGTGTG